CCCAGGGGACCGGTGGGGACCGTTTCCCAGCCCTGGGAGTGCGTCTACACTGCCAGGAGGGAGCTCGGAACCGGGTTCCATCACAGGGACGTCCCAGCCACTAACGCCAGCGGCTCCAGTTCAAGCCTAGGGGGTGTCTGGCCTTGAACCTGACCCTGAGTGGCCGGGTCCTCGCTGTTGGTTTCACCCCGGTGGAGAACACGCCTGGTTCTCAGGGCAGAGTCAGCCTGGTCTGGCCCCGGCCACCCTGGGCTGAGCAGCGAGGGCCATTTTCCCTGCGCCATGTCCTGCCTCCGGGCTTCTCGCTGCCCCAGCGAGTCGGGGCATCTCCTGGGCTGGCCTGGAGAGCTCTGCTCCCTGCCCTGCCCTGCCCTGCCCGTCCGCCCAGCTCCGGCCCGGCTGGCCCCTGCCCGCATCCGCACCCGGCTTCTTGATCACGGGAAGCACCTGACCTAGAGCTGCAAACCCTCCAGGATTGTCCTGGATTGTCCAGGACTTAAAGATTAATCTGCAATTAAAGATTGTCATGTGATTAAACCTCCAGGAATTTGTCCAACAAAAGTTGGCAACTTTAACCTGACCCCTCGCCAGTGGGGCTCCTCCTGCCGTCAGGGTCTCTGACCCAAGGGCCAGACACCCAGCTCAGGGGCGGGGGCTGAACTGAGAGGGGATGAGGGGTGCACTGAGGGGTGATATGGGGGTCTGAATTGAGGGAGGATGGGAAGGTGAACTGAGCGGGGATTTACGGGGAGTGAACTGAGGAGGGGTGAACTAATGGGAAGCAGAGGACGGAGTAGATTGAGGGGGGGCTGGGAAGATGTGGGGGAGGGGGTTGCCCTGGACTGATGGGAGAACTCGGGGGGACAGGAGTGATTCGGGGGCCGGGGTGATTAATTGCTGGGCAGGGGATGGGCTGATGTTGGGGGGGGGCATCTCCAAACTCCCCTTCCCCACTTCACAGGGTAGCACTGGCCGGGCTCACTGTCACCCCCAGGCCGGGAGAGGGCAGAAGGGCTCAGACAGCCCCACAACACAACATCCCCAATTGTGTTTTAAAGCCCCTGGTTTGCGGGGGCTGAGCTGATGCTGGCCTCTCCTGGCGGGATGTGTGCGGCAGCCCAGCCTGTGGGGCGGGTTCCCCAACTCGCTGGGGCCGGGCGCTGGTCTGATCTCCGATTCCTGTCCCTGGCAGGTGCCTACGCCCAGGAGTGGGGTGTGACACTCGCACCAGGGCCCCAGGCTGGCTGGGTCGGCTCCTGCGTGACCATCCCCTGCTCCTTCACCTACCCCGCAGGGTGGAACGTCAGGACCGTGATCTGGTTCTGGACACGGGACAGGGATCACCGGGACACGGATCCAATCGTGTATCACTCGGTCGAGACTCGTGTCCATGCTGACTTCAAGGGCCGCGCCCGCTATCTGGGGGACCTGCAGCACAACTGCTCCCTGCGGGTGGTGGGGCTGCGCCTCAGCGATAACGGCACCTACCGCTTCCGGTTCTACACAGCACGCTATGGCAAGAGTGACACATGGTTGGGTCAGCCAGGACTGCAGCTCAATGTCACTGGTAACCAGGTTCCATCCAGCACCCCCGGGTCTCTCTCTCTCTCTCTCTCTCTCACACACACACACACACACACACACACACACACACACACACACTCT